CCCTAAAACCCTATAAACCCTAAAAAGGAACTCCACCTCAACCTCTACCCAGACGCCTGGCCGCAGAGCTTTGAGCTTCAGGACCAGGGCGTACTAGGCGTGGGTTTAGACGGTTTAGGGCTTGTATGTGGCATGCAATCATGTGACTACATAGAACATCGCAGGGTCATGGGCTCTCCAGTCGTACTCACAAATCTAAGCATCCTAAGCCCTATGTAAACCTAGTTAACCCTAACCCCTAAACCGTTGACGCTGTTCTTTCGCAAGATTGTTCCAGCTTTTCTTTAAATGGGGCTGGTGCTTCTTATGCCGATGTTAGTATGTGTAGAGGGTATGATTCCTTAGCGCTCGTTATCATGATTTTGGCAGAGTATATCTCAAAACCTGTTTCTATATAATCTAGCTAGCCTCCAATTCTTACAAGTTGCAAGTTGAACAGAATTCCTATCTGGAATCCAGAGTCGGAGTTCTAAATGTGTTCTAGCTTCAGACTCTAGTTTCCTAATTAATTTATAATTTTTTCATCACAGTACGTCATCGTGCGGGGCGCTTTGGGTTTTTTCTTTTCAGAACGCAAAAATGATCGCAAGCACCTCTGTAGATTGCATGATGAACCCACAGCACTAGCCAGTAACCTCCTGAGTCGTTCTGAGTTGTTCCTGGGGGTCTGGGTAGAATTTTTGGCCTAGATAAGTATCAATACTAGTTTGGGGGGTTCCTTTTGTGTCTAGGGTATAATGTGCCCGAGAACCCTGTTCTAGTTATTATGGGCGCCGATAATTTTCAGAACAGTGCGGGGACAGGGGAACCCTAAACCCGAAACCACCCCCAAACCCTCAAAGCCAGCAAGCCACAGAGCCGAGGTGCAAGGATAGCAAACATTGCTCTGCGCATGAGTGCTGTGAGAAGAAGATGGACGACAAGAAGAGATAGCAGGGAGCAGCATGGCATAGGGGTTCAACTTCAGGAGGGGTTTAGGGTATAGGGACTCCTCGGATTCATATTTTTAGGGTTTGACCGAGGTTGGTGGGTTGGCAGATGCTGTACTGTACAAAGATTCACCAGGACGTTGCATGTTCAAGCAGTCCGATGCCCCCGCGACCCGAGCCTTCGACCTACGTAAGTCTGCAATTCAACACAGATCCCTTGTCATTTCTACGACCGGCTTTTAATACAGGGTCGTAACCATAAGAATGGCTGGCCGACGAACCTTTGGGAGCTACATTGGAGGTTGTAAAAAGAGGTTCTTGACACTTGAGCCCTAGGAAGTCCAAGATCTTGATCCATGAGCTCCGAAGCTCCGAATTCTAAACCCTGGGTTTAGGGTTTAGAGTTTAGGGTTTAGGGTTTAGGGGCCCCTAAACCCTTGACCCTAAACCCTAAAGTCTCATCTGTTCCTGCACCCGAGCAATGTTACTGCTGCCCTGGCGACCAGTCATTAACCCTGCGAGCCCGTAACAGGGTTGAGGGTGTAGGAGCTCCAAAAAAGGTTTGGGGTTCGCGAACCCTCAAGTAAGAAAAAGGCTGTGTATGAGGCTTACGGCTTGGGAGCTCTGAACCGGTTCGGGCTGACTAAGCCTGAATAAAAGGATGAATGGCTTTGGGTTTTCGCACCATAGGGTTGAGAGTTTAGGACACCGGACGAGGGTTTGGTGTCAAACAGGGCCAAGCATAATCGACTGCTGCTCTCGGCCATTGAGACGAATTGGTTTCACCAATTTAGCAGTTTCCACACCCCCGGGTGGCTATCTCTCATCTCTCATCAAAGGTTGGATTTAGGATCTTTGACTTACTTGAGAATCGCCTTCGTTTTAACATCAGCTGCGCTTCGTACAAAGCCAAACCCGCTAACGATTGGAATTGGCATAGGCCTCCGGATCAACAGCTCCTCCGAGCCACACCTATGGCGCGAGAAAGCTTAGCCCGAAAGGGTTTGACCGAATGGATTTGGGTAGCTCTCTAAATTAGGGCCCCTTTTTGGGTCCCCAATATAGTACGGCACCCTTATAAAAAGGATCCTAAAAGGGACCCAAATTTAGAGAACTACCCATTTAGGGATTTTGTAGCAGCTAAAAAGATCATTCTCAGCCCAGCTCACACCGCCGGGCCAGAACTGGTGCTGCAGGTAAAGGCAAGCAGAAGCCCTAATACTGTTGGAATCGGCATGTTCACTGGGGTTGAGGTATGTTGAGGGTGTTTTGAAGCATTTAAAGGTTTGAGGTTCGAGGTTTAGGAACGTTAGCAGTTTCCCTGATACGCGAGTGGAAGATGAACAAAAAACCTCCAGATGAGAGCTTGACTCACCCAGAAAACTCAGATGCAGGAACTGGACGAGGTTGCCTGCTCAAAAAGACTTCAGCCTAACGCCCCGTAGCCCACAAACCACAGCCCCAGAATGTCAGAGCTCTTTAAAATGCCTTCCCAACCTGAACTTTCGGATTTCTTTCAGGGTTTCGACGAAACGGTTTAGGGTTTAGGGGGTTCAGGGTTTTAGGGTGTAGGGTTTAGGTTCATTTCCAGGTCTGAGCATGAGTAACAGCAGTTTCCCCATGTAGTCACTATATAGGATACAAGACCCTACCCCAACACCCCATTCTTTCAAAGGGCGGCCCTGTATCCGGGCGCGCAGGCCCCCTTGTCCAGTTTCCGTGCCATCACTCACCTAAACTGACCTAAGCCTCTAAACCCTAAACCCTAAACCCTATAAGCCTTGAGCCCTAAACCCTAAACCGTTTGCCTAAACCCTATTAATAATAAGCCTTAAGCCTCTAAACCCTAAGCCCTAAGCTTGATCGGGGCATTCACAGTGGCTCGCTTCGACCTCCGTCGCTTGCGGAGAAACAGGAAATCGGGGGCGTTCAAGCTTTGCAGATTCGGCCTTCGAGCAAATATTCGAGCCTCAGTGGGTTTTGTGGTATTTGATACCATCATTACATAGGGAGTCTAAAGGGATACTGTTACTACTAACTCAGTTTCTTAGATGTGAGGGCTGTGCTACGTTAGGGTCGCAGGTCGCTCCTGCAACCTTCGAGCCTTCATCTAAGCACAGTTCCGATGTCATGAGCACTGGCATAAAGTTTAGGGTTTAGGGGTTTAGGGGTTTAGGGGTTTAGGGTTTAGGGGTGTAGGGGTTTAGGGGTTTAGGGTTCAGGGGTTCAGGGGTTCACGGGTTTAGGGGTTTAGGGGTTTAGGGTTTAGGGGTTTCGGGTTGTCGGAACTTAGCAGAGACGACGAACAAGATATGAAAACGACAATTAAATTAGCAAGGGGGGTGGCTCCAAATCAAAGCTTCTTCATCGTGATCGTCTTGACCACAGCAGATATACTGCCGACAAGGACAGTGGCGATAGTGATAAACCACACCAGTAGCAACTCAGTCGTAAACCTTGTATACTATGGCTAGAGTTTTAAGTACATTGCATGATCACTGTCAGGTAACTATCATGACCAAACAAATATCTGGTCTGCCTCTTCAGCAGGACCCTGAACCCCTAAGAGTCCTTTGGCAACCCAGGTCGGCAAATCCGTCCGCAGAAGCTTCCAGGCCGCTTGCGGTTGAGGTTTTAGGGTTTGTTCGTGTTCCGGGTTCTGGTTCGAAGCAAGGGTAGCAGCAACAGGAGGGAGTAATGAATAAGTTGCGCTGCAGTCGTGGTTCTGGGCAGGAGTAGCACCTGCTGCCGCACAAGGATCTTCAGCAACGTCACAGTGATTTTGTGTCCCAAACCCTAAACCCTATACCCTATCTCTTTCGGGATTTGTAGGTTTGGGGCTTCGGGGTTCGAGGAGGACCTCAACCGAAGGGTTTGAAAGGCCACACAAGCAGACCGTTTCGAAAACTCCTTGGCAATATAGAAGTCTGAAGTATTACTTACCATTACTTACCATGCAAACAGTAGCAATACAGTCCTGTTTCTCAGGGCTCCTCCTCCTTATGGATATACTACAATATACGTTCACCAAAAACTTATTCTAACTGGCAAGGCCCCTATAGCGTGTCTGAGCATGCCACATCGCTAGGCCGCTAGGATCTTCACTGCAGCGGTGCCAAGCCCTAAGTTTTAAACCCTGAACGTGGACCCTGAACCCCTAAAATCCTAAGCGTTAAACCTTAGGCCTGAAGCATGAATCCTTAAAATCCAAACCCTAGCCTTAATAAAACCCCTAGCCTTTATAAAAACCCTGAAGCTGAAACCCGAACGCTTTAAGCCCTAGGCCCTAAGCCCCAAACCTTAAGCAGACCCTTCTGTGTGGGCCGAGCTTGAAGCACTCATCCTGGGTCCCGAGGACCTCTGATACTACTAAGGTTAGCACGTAGGGCTTAGTGTTTTAGTTCCTAGGGTGTAGGGCTCGTTTAGGTCTTGCCAAGCCCAGCAACCGAAGGTGCCAGCCTTCCTACGGTTTTACAGTATGGTGGTTTAGCATTTTAGGGGTTGTTGTGTGTTTAGGGTTGAGGGCTTCGTACTAGGGCCTCTAGGGTTTATGGCGAGATCCTCGCAAAGCCATCATGGAACGGTGCTGCCGTCCTTCATCCACGGTGACGTTAGAGGGTGTAGGGTGATCAAGAGGTGACCAGCTTTATCCTAGCTACTATGTTTCAGTCTTACCTGGGTAAGTTATCAAGGCATGCTGCAACTGCAGAAATGCATACCCGGAAACGAAATCCGCAAAACAGCCCAGTATGTATGCACTAAATAAATACATATACATACATGTGTATACATATATATAAGATATACATATATATATATACACTCGTTTGTTTATGTGTATATTACACACTTACATACATACACATATATACTGTATACATAAAACCTTCAATCAAGTTAAGCAGAGCCTCCGAACGACGAAGCCCTTGATCGCAGGCCTCCAGTTCACGCCAGCATTTCGTCTGCGCACAAGGCTCGACGGTTTAGGGCTTAGGGTTCAGGTTCTACCGCCCCGTAGACTTAGGGTTTAGGGTTTAGGGTTTAGGGTTTCATAGACTTAGGGTTAAGTTAGGGTTCAGGCTTTAGGATATGGGGATTGTTGGGGACTCGGATACAAAGCTGCTTGAAACCTAAAGCCGTAGCGCACGAAATCCAAGACGTGGACATAAACTTTGGGTCTAACCCCCACGAACTCCGAACCTACCTTGATTATAAGCCCTACTAGCACTTATAGAGGCCATACAAAAAAGTAGGTTGGGGTAGTTCAAGGTAGAACCGACAAAATCGTCACACATTTTTACGTTGCTGCAACTTAAGTTCTTGTCAACTGTACCCCGCGGTTCAACAATAGATACTTTTTTGAGCGGTTATGTTTAACGTTAAGCTCAGCATCCATGGTTGGGTTGCAAACACCAACAAACAACATGTTCTTTTAGAATTCCGAAGGTGCATCAGATTACGCAGGTGCGGTTGCAATGCCAATGCAAGGCAGTTTAGTTCCGTGCCTCGCATGCTGGGCTTCGCAGTATGATTCGCTTGAGAATAGGGGTATCCCAAGGCTTGTTTCAAAGCAAAGTTCAATGTCAAGTTCAACGTCTACGCGGTGTCGATGCTGACATGCCATGCTGCAGAGCCAGGCCATTCATGTGGTGTGATGCATTGGTGGGCTCAGGGCCTTCTTTATCCACTTGTCGGCATTGGGCTTGCTGAACCCTACAATCCCTACAAGGTCGCAGCATGATGCCCTGTCCTATGAGGGAGACCCCTTCAAGGGACCCTTCTTAAGCCTACTTCTGGCTCTCCGAAAAAGGAACCTTATTGGGAGGGTTTATATCCCCAAGGGTCCCCCTAATCCTAACCCCTACCCTGTTGGGAGCGCGCAGCTTCACGATTGTAGGCATACCAAGCAAAACCTGTACCCCCAGAGGACCTGCTTGTTTCTAGGTGTCATGTCAGGTACATACGGAAGTTAGATCGAGGAACTCAATGCATGCAAGGTCGTTGTGAAAAAGAACTCCCATGTAAGTCTTAAAGATCCCGGACCTGGGGTGTGAAG